TACTAGCAACACCGACGACGAGTCGGCTTGCCCTAACAAATATCGTTAAGTCCTTCAGATCACCAGTGCATGGAGCAAACATACACATATCAGACAGATGGACAACACAACAATTGTCAAACCAGACAATTTGACATTCCGATCAGATTGCAGTAACTCCACTCCAAGTCAACCTTTGGGGCCCCTGCATCGTGTTGGAACAGGCCGATTCCGACACATACTCTGTCTGCATACCCATGTCACACGTTGGGGCATTTATTTTGTCATCCAAGCCAGTTCTGGAGGAGGAGGCCAAACCAAATTCAGATTTACTCAGTCATACATAAGGGTTTTAATATTTTCCTGGCCTGCAAAACTTTTTTTTTTCAGTTCTCTCGTTAGACGGCGCTTCCTTTTTTGAGTCCGCTGGACAACAAGAAAAGGGCTTCAGTTGAGGTCGGGGCTACGGGCCGGGCTATTTTTCTACTTCATATGAAGACAAGGCGCTTCTTGCGGGGGCTACAGAAACGCTTTTCTATTGCCTATGTGCGAATCGATCTATGTTTAGACAATACCTATCTGTACGGCTATGCACAAGATTCGTTCGCAAAAACCATAATGTGAAGGTGGAGAACCACTGTTATTATTGTTACTCCAGTTCTCTCGTACCACAATCGCAATGTTACTCCTCATTGCTGGTTTGACTCCACTGCTGCGTGTTTGTATTAGACGCAACGATCAAGCTCGGTTACATCTTGAAGTAGACACGCAACGGCCCGAATTTATCACTATTATTCTGTGAAGAAATAACGGTGCAAATGACACACAAACATGGGTACTCTTGTGGACATTCAACCATGGGTACCACCAATAGAATACCCGCCGCCCAACATCCTCCCCACACACTCTTCTACACCTCCCCAGCATAACATACAGTTAGATACACCAGATAGCCACCTAACTTTCGTTGTCGAGCCTGTTACCCACGGGGGAGATATCTTCGTGTGCTGCTCGGGGAACCGTGAAAAATAAATTGGCCACCATCAACACTACAAATTTCATGGTTAATCTACCCGTGGGACTCTTATCTGTGGAAGAGATGCATTTGTTGTGTTCTTTCTCGGGGAGAAAAAAGAGGGTTCAAACGTGCACGAAAAAGAACCAAACAGGGCAATGAATGGTAGGTTGCTCATTTCCGTGCGATAGCTACTTGGTTGACTACACCATCGTAGGTCATGTGCTCAGTCGGCAATTTACGCGAGCGAGTCGGCCGTCCTTTTGGCAGGGTTTCCAATGCTTTGATATTGTCGTGGGAAGTGGCAGAACCGCGCTGTTTGTTGTATACCATGGTTCAAGGTATGGGGCAGGTGCAGGAGAGGCGATTTTTTCTTGGGAGCGCCTCCCGTCGGTATTTGGCGACACGTTGGAAAAGGGGCACCGCAGAGGTCCACATCACTGCCGTCTCGGCAACACACAGCCCACACAGCCTACACAGCATGCAGCACGCAGCACACAGAGGGGGAGGGGCTTGTGGGACATAGAGGCAACATGTCCGCGCTATTCTTATTGCTGCTGCTGCTGCTGCTGCTGTTCCTCCAGTTGACGGCACGGAAGCAGTAGCAAAAACATTGAGCAGCTAGCCGTCGAAGCGGCAACTTTTGTTCATGATCACCCGACGCAAACCCAACGCACAGCAACAAGAGAGGCTGGCATACTGGCGCAGGATCACTCTATTATACATCCCTCCTGTTGGCGGTTGTTTTTGTTGGTGTGGCTGGTGTGGAAGGACTGCTGTACAGAGAGAAAGAGATACGCTTTATCTTTGCGTTCGTTGCGATCTCGCGGACATGTACCGCAGCAGGATGGCAAGGGATCTTCATCTCTTGCACGCATCACAAGCGCGGACCTGTGGCATTTCACATCTATAGACTGCAGCACGTTTACAATTGTACTCTTCCTGCTGTTGTTGTTTATGGTGGCGTGGTGCGGCATGACTGCGCGGAGTAAAAGCGAGAGCCAGACGCTTTGAATGCCGTCGGGAATTATGCACGGGCGGCGACGACATCGTATCTTTTACACCACCCAAGCAAGCGTGGAATCTCATCGATCTCATGACAGCACGGACTTCACCCTACACATTTATTTGCTGCTACAATCACCGCTGTTGCTGCTGCCCTTGACTAATGCTGGCCTTCCTTGCTTTTGCGAGGGGCGGTGTACTTGCTGATATGCATATGTAGATCGACCTACATGGCGCACTTGTAGATTTGAGTGATAATACATAGTCTAGGTGCTGAGTTTGTTGCGCATTGCCACAAACAGCATCTAGACTAGAGGGAACATAGGGACAGTTATTGAAGGTGAAGACAGCTCGAAAGTTGTCCTGCTTTCTGCTCATCTTCTGCACAAATCTGCTTGTGAATCGACGTCCTGGTCGTCGAGATATCAACAGTTTCGCGGAGAAAGAGCCGCGAGAGAAAGCCTGGAACTTTATCTTTTTTTTTTCTTCCAGGTGCTACATACAATTGTACCAGTAAGAAATCGCCAGGAAATCGCTTAGCAGTTATACTTGCAACACGGGGTCCCATGTATGGTCTACATGTACACCTGCTGGTTGTGAACACAGTAACATATCACCCGATCCGACGAACGCGAAACATGCCCTACCTCGCGGATCTCGAAGGGGAAACAACGGGGGGGCAGCTAACATGGTGCATGTCGTGCCATGGTCGCTGGTATTGGCCCCTGGGCCCATCGCGCCTTGTCGCAGTCACCCAGTCGCCCAACCTTATCCCACGCTGGCACACGAAACACCAGTTGCTGGGGTATCTACTTCGGAAATTTTCGGTGTGGGGGGAGATAACCACATCTGGATGGGGGATCGTCCTGGCGGCACGGTCCTTGGCAGCTTGCTCGCAATGCGGGTAACAGCGTCGGTCCGACCAGCCCTCAGTCAGTGGGCCATTGGGGGGAGGCGGTCTGATGGCCTGGAAGGTCTCACGGGGATAGATCTTGCTGTCGCACTGCTCGCAATACTCATGATTCGAATTGCACACGAGTTGCTGATACCCCGCCTCTCCTTGGTGTGACATGGTGACACTTGGGCGCTCACGATTGCAACTGGTTGTAAAGAATAAACAGCGTCCAAGGGGCGAGGGGCGCGCGGGAGAAGCCGTTCACCGGCTCTTTCTCTGAAAAAACTGCGGGATGTTGAACCTCTGCTGAGCGGTGAGTTGTCCCGAATAGCAACACGCAAGCCAACGGAGAACCTTTGGAAACCCCCTCAGACCAATGCGGCCACGGCGGGGCCTCGTAGCCATTGACGGAGCCGAGCCCTCCGGCTTGCCGCTGCCCTCTGTTCTCTTGCACTGAGTCCACCCATCACAGAGTAGCCATGTCTGACGGAGAGGGGGAGGATAGAACGGGTGGGGGAAGCAAGGGTGGGGAAGGGCGAGGAGGAGTCAAGAACCACAAGAAGTACAGGAAGGACAAGCCATGGGACAGCGCCTCCATCAACCACTGGTCCATCCCTAACTGGGAGGACGACAACATGAAGGTGCGTATGCTACGTTCGTTGAGGATTGGAGAACACCTCATCCTGCTGTCGCAGCCCAAAGATCAAGAAGCTGTTTGGCTTCGTGAGCCGTGCCTAATAGATGCGGCACTTGATCGCCGCAGCGAGCGAGTGCTGAGTGTCGAGCGAGCTGGCTCTACTCACAGCTGTCGATCGGACCGGGACGTCTGTTGTTGTTGTTGTCCACACATTTGGACAAACAAAGGGCAGTCTGTACCTGCTGTGTGTCGCAGGCCCACTTACAGGAGTAGAAGCATCTACTGTAACTATTTGGTACTACCCCGAATCGTACATGCAGTCCTAGCTCAAGCAAAGGGACAGGGACAGGCTCTTGACCTTGGGTGCTCTTGCGGCTTTTTGTGACTGGGCCTTCTGCGTACCGCCGCTGCTTGGAATTGTCATGCGAATGGAGAGCATCGCCCGTTGAAGGGAGTCGGCCCCAACGGACGTTGGAGAGATGGCGCCTTTGTGTAAGGTAGACTCCGCGACAGAGTGCACACACTAGTTGTTGGGCACGCTGAAAAGTATGCACCCCGTGGTATGTATACGGCCGTTGTTTTTTAAAGTGGCGAACGAAGCAATGTCGTTCTACGCGTGGTATGTATTACGGCCGTTGTTTTTTAAAGTGGCGAACGAAGCAATGTCGTTCTACGAATCATGTGCCAGAGGGCTTTTGCCCATTTTCTTTTTTTCTTGTCTTAACTGCAAATCAGCGCTCACAGCACTAGTGCCGTTTACTCGAACCCGTGGTCACACATAAGAGCCCCTCTCTACTCTCCCCTTCTGCGGTACTTTGCCTTCGATTTTTAATGCGAGAAGAGTTCAGCACTCTCTTCCCTCTTTGTACACACGAGAACTAGGGCTATCCACTAGGCCAGGAGCGGAAGCGAGAGAAAACACACGAACTAGGGCTATCCACTAGGCCAGGAGCGGAAGCGAGAGAAAAACTCACTTTGCAAGAAAAGCTCGCTTACGCCGGGATTCGAACCCCTGACCTGACTTCTAGAAGGTTTCGAGGGTACCAACTAGACCACCGGGACGACCGCCCATGGGGGTGGGCAGAAGATCGTGGGGAAGTCACTAATGGGCTGGTCTGAGCTGCACATGAACGAAAGGGACGAGGTCGAGAAGGAGATACAAAACTTGAAGGATGTGGCACGGTCGTGGCTTCCCGCATTCGACAGCAGCAGTAGCAGTACTATCTGTAATTTGCAGAGAGGAAACAATCGCCATCCTTAGGGATGGATGGTCGCCGGAAAGGAACACCAAGAAGGAAATGAGACAAAGGCGCGCAACAGTTCCGCGAAAACGCGGCGCCGCGATTTCTCGATTGGAACTAGAAACAGTCCTGGGAGTGGTGCTAGGAACGGTACAAGGTGCGATGCTTAGTCTCGAAAGGAATGCGTGACCAAGGAATGATCATACAGCAGGTTCCGCCAATCAGCACATGATGATAAAAACCACCCCACCGCCTTCCTGTGCTTCGTCTGTTTTTTCGCCACGCGTGCGACAAACACACAAACCGTTTGCACAGTCCGGTCTGCTGGAGGAGAGCAGCTTCGCAACGCTTTTCCCGAAATACCGAGAGAAGTATCTGAGGGAGGTCTGGCCTATCGTTACCAAGGCGCTCCAGGTACTGCTGTTTTCCACCGACACAATGTCCTCGTCGTCGTTTTTTTGTGTGTCAAATTCCGTTATGACTTAGCTTTCATTCCGTGTATGATGGTATACAACCTATTTACTCCTGTTCAACGGTTGCATTCTGGTGGTGACCACTGCAGCTACACGTGATGCCAGCGCCGAACAAATCGATGATCTGCGTGTCTTTGAACTATCTCGTTCGATACACGAAAGAGAGCTCTCAGAAAAACAGCTTCTTGAGGTGATGGGGGGGATTGTTTGGGTGGGGGAGCATTCAAGCTTTGGCAAACGGCTGAGGGTGCCCATTGTTTTCATTCAGTGCGGATGGATCATGGTTCCTACTGTGGCCGATCTTTTCTTGCTACGATCTGATAGAAGTGTAGTCGCACGCATGCGTTGTACAACCTTGTTGTGGTGCATGTTCATGGTGACAGCAGTATTGCTCTAGTCAGGCAGCTGATGTAGCTCAACAGACGGTGCGGTTCACTGCGTCCGCTCGATGTGTGGCGCACTGTATCTGCATGATGTGCTCAAGCCAAATGTTTGTCCATGAAGGAGGTGTTTCTTCCCTCAACCTTTTTTTATTTTTGTGCGTACCTGGTGCTAATGATGCCACAACCATGAATACGTGTATCCGATGGGGCTCTGCATTCCAAACCTTGTCAGCAGCGACACGTCCGAAGTCGTCGACGTTGGTAGTGAATGTTCCGTTGTTTTCCGCTCCCATGTTTCACCGATGTTGATGCTCGTTGAATTCATGTGTCCCGCTCCAAACGTCACCGACATGTACTCGCCCATCGACTGTCGGATACGGAGCCTAAAGGGCAAGACGTTCGTGGTCGATTCAGGCGTACACGCCGTGTTGTCACCGGTCCGGCCTCATGTATTTTTCCCTTCTTTGAAAACAGTTTTTTTCCTCCTTATTTCTGAGATTTATTTCACTTCTGTTTCCTTGCTCTCCTTTGCTTTATTCTCAATAATTTATACATACAATCAAAGAACGACTACATACCCTTTCGAGATAATAACCACAGTAGTCGAAGGGGATGTGTTGTGAGTCTTTGCAGCGAGTGGGAAGAGCCATTTTTTTTGCTTCTATTTTTTTGGTCGTTACAGAAACGCGGCGTGTCTTGCGAGCTGGACCTGATCGAGGGGTCGATGACGGTCCGCACCACGCGCAAGACCCGCGACCCGTACGTCATCGTGAAGGCGAGGGACCTGATCAAGCTGCTGGCGAGGTCGATCCCGGCTCAGCAGGCTCTGCGGGTATTGGAGGACGACGTCAACTGTGACATTATCAAGGTGCGCAGTTCGTCACGCGCAGATATACCACATATATATATATATATTTTTTTTTTTGTGAAGGGGCAATGGTTGGTTGTGTGCGCGTGTGTTTCTTTGATGGTGGTGTCGCGACCATGGTGATCGGCTGACCAATGAAAAGCGATCAGTCTCACATAGCGGGGTAAAGAACGTGAACAAGAATTCTTGCCATCGCCCCCCCGCCCTCGGCAGCCCCCCCCCCGGCAGGGGGAGGCGCGCGGAGGAGATTGGATTCGATAGGGTCCAGTCTCTGGATTCAGCACACAAAGGAGAAGACTCAACACCTACCGCGTAGCATTCATTCCCTGTTGCGTTGTTTACTCCTGTTGTGCTACCATCACTAGTTAGCCTGCAGTGGCTTGCTCTCTATCCGAATTCTCTCCGCTTCGTTTGGGCATGCCACTAGGTTGAGCGCATTCGTCCTTGCGGCGTTCTGTCTGGAACTCTGTCTCTCCCACCACACACAAAAATGGAAGGTCTACTATCGGTGTGTTCCCAGATAACGAACAGCGTAACTTGCCTGTGTTTTGTAGTTAGACGCAGTTGTGTTTCCGTGTTTTCTCTTGTTGCCCTGGTGTGTATCGACCGGGATTTTCTATGTTTTGTATTGTGTTTTTATCGGTCGGCATGGCGATGGGCTTTTTTTTAGTTGTTTTTGCGTGCCTGGGTTGTATAAGTGTAGTGCGTGCCTGTGAGAGCGTTGGACACACGATGCACATGCGTCTCTGCACCCAACGTTGTTGCCAGCACGAAAAATCTGCCTACTCGGAGTATTTTTTTTAGGTGGAAATTACATCTGTTGCGCACACCGCAGTAGTGGAGCATTGGCGAAAAATCTTCGTTCAGAGGTATCGCGGGTGGCATAAGTTACCGCCGCGCATCGATTTCTAGCGGCCGACTACCTAGACGACAGCGGCGGCAGGTGCGTTCCGTTAATATGGTCAGTTCAAATTTAATTATAAAACCCAAAGTGAGCATTGCTGAACCATTCTCGAGATCGAACGAACGGCAAGAACAGCCACAGAATGAAAAATTAGGGGCGGGGGGGGTCCAGGGGGAGGACGAAGCCTTTGGTGTGACCTCGACGCTAGTTCTCTACCTAGTAGTTAGTTCCTATGAAACTCGAAGGAGCGAGACACTAGCACGTTGAGAACTCATCAATGGGAAACGCTAAGCCATGACGGAACGACCATTCGCACCCAAACCCTTCCTGCGCTTGTATATTTTGTCTCTGAAAGCCGACACGACTGCTTGTTTCTGAAAGCCGACACAAACGCTGTTTGATTTTCCCCGAGAACAACGGTGGATGTGTGGGCGTGTGTTTATTTTTGTTGGGATTTTGGCTTTTTTTTTGGCCCAACAAAATAGGCACTATTAATGGGACCGCGCATTTAACGACTTTCGAAAATGTTAAAAAATCGAAAAACCGGCATTGTTTTGGCCGGGAAAAAAAATGTTCAAGTATTTTTTTTATTCTATGAAAGGGCTCCGAGGACTTTTCTTTTTTCCAAATCAGAAATGAGTATCAAGTTCTACGGGAACCCCAGCCAGACAAGACGTCATTTTAGGTCTTCGACCAATCAGAGTTTTCGCGCCTGGTCAATTCCGGCCCCCGAATAATAAAAAAACGTTCCGTGCACATTCGGACGGTTGTGAGCCAATCTCGCCACCACCTCCGAGCCAGCATCGCACAGGCGTAAATTCTGCTCACCACCCAGCAGCCAGTGTTTGGGTACACCGTAGGGAAACGAAAGCGAGCGATGGTATCGGCCATGCATGAAGCTCAAAGCCATTGCTGCAACCTGTGAACAAGACCAACAGCAGTGCCGATTGAGATGTACCATGTTATTCACAGAACGCGGGTTGCGGACAGTTCTGCATTTGCGTTGTGGTGCATTTTGCAATTCCCGTCATTATTATGATGTTCGTTCTGGTTTGTGATTTGCTTTTCTTGGTATTTCGTATTTTATAGGCAAAATGATGTTCTATCTTTTTCCCCTGCTGTTTGTTATTGTTCTGACTCATCATTTCTTGTTGTACCACATTGCGATCACTGTTCTCTTCTGCATACTGCTGTGCCGACGTCACTTCGCAGCGCGCCGCGCACCGTTTGTGATTCTCACCGACGTTCTGTCTTCAATGGTGGTATGAACAACACCTGGGGGTATACCTGTCAGAACGGTTGGTTGAAATTATTCCGAAAATGTCCGCGGGCGTCATCTGGCCACCGCATGCGCAAACGCACCCAAAGGACGAGCGACCTCGATGTAGCAGGCAGGGTTTTGGCACCACGGACCCACGAGCAGCAACATATTTCAGAACGATCTCCACTCCTGTTCGGCTTGTTTAGCAGTTCTTTCGTTCAGAGTTGTTCAGAGGCAGGAACAAAAAAAAATCCCGTCACGATACTTGTTGTTGTTGTTGTTGTTGTTGTCTTCACATTAAAAACCGTTCCGATCTCTCTCTACCCAGTACCTTCGTATGTCCGTACTGATCCAACACTCGATGCGGTCGATTCCCGTGGTCACAGGTTAACTTACCCTAAAAAGGTACACTCAAATAAACTGGCCCCGAGGGGTCCGCAAGTCAATAGAAATCAACGACAGATATTCTGGAATCCTCCACTCCCTCTTCGCGCTATGCGAGGTATCAACCGAGACTAGCAGTCACTATCTATCGAGGGCCGGAGAGAAAGAGGTACACTCCCTTGGTTCAATCTTGGTACTTCACAACGCAAGCAGAGACAAGGCCATCTGGCACAGAAAAAGAGAGAAAAAAAAAAGAAAAAAAAGGAGAAAAAATAAAAATGGAAACCGTAAGGAGAAGAGAAAATATACAGAAGCCTAAATCAAACCATTGCAATTGTAGACTATGCTGACTAGTCTAATGGTTTGATTTAGGCTTCTATATACTGCAGCATCTTCCTGTATGGTCTTTCCCTCCCACCACAACCTTGGGTGCCTGCCGTCACTCTAGGTTTCAAACAAACTCAGAACATGCCCCCTGCTTGCGTGCAGGCAGCTCGCGGTCTGTTACGGTCAGGTGCATGTGCTGAAACCACGTCATTTGTTGAACCAGAACGGCTTCCTGCATGCAGAGCGATTTCAGATGCACATGCACATGCACGTACTTTTGCAATGAATCGATGCAAATGCGAACTTGATTTTTTCTTCATGATATTAAGTCAGTTGGTAGCGTATTTGGTCAAGTAGACAACAGATCGAGGTCGGATCGGAAGGGCACATGGCGGCGGCGGCTGTTGTTGTTGTTGTGGTTGTCTTTGTCCCTAACGGTTCTGACCGCATCACATCCCCTCTTCCTTTCTCATCAACGTGTGAAGACACCGATTTTCTGCGTTACAAGCTGCATGGTATTTCCACGTGCACATCCATAACGAGAGTAAAAGGTGTAGAAGTTTAATGAAGCTTTCAAGAGAGAATCTCGGTATGTAGGCAATTGCGAAGAGACGATAATTCTAACTCCTGGAAGAGTGCGCTCAAATTTCTCGAAACACAAAATTGCAAATATAGAAGTACCATGAAGTATGTTACAAGAATCTATTAAATCACTTTTGTACGGGTGAGAGCCGGCTTTGTTGGTGTTGCCAAGTTCAAGCATGCTTCGTTGTTTTGTATTTTATTACCTGGCAAGCAACGGTCGCTCGACACAGCGTTGCTGAAATTGTCACAACAAATGAGCATTCTACCATGGTTTTTCTTCACTTTTTGAAATGGTCGATTTGCACACAGCAGTGTTGGGAAGCTGTTCGCTGCGTTACGAATGGGACACAAAGAGAGAAAGCCCTTGCTGCTCCCTCCACTCGAAGTATTCCTAGTATTATCGATGGAGCAGTGCACCCGCTGTTCGAATATAAAAAATCCAAAAGCAGCTATCTCATGGACGTTTGTTTGTCAAAACCAACAGACGGAACCACGCCTCTAATAATTACCCGCCCGCCTTCGCCAACAACCAACAAAGATTTTTCATGTATATCACACCCTCACGTCCTTACCTCTGTCTTAGGTCTACGACAGTCCTTAAACTGAGTGGCCCCGACGAAAACCGCGGTCAGACTTTTCCGAAAGGTGCGGCGTCCAACACATCCAACCAAACTACCATTGGAGAGTCGGTGCGCGCATCCGTCTACTGGTGTACGCACCTCTTCTCAGGCCAATCAATTGACCTTTTGGCTCCAAAAATCAACAAGGATCGATCGGGGGTCCTCATGCCACAAAGAAACCGCCGCCGCACGCAAGACCCGCCCAAGACTAGCTACATCAGTAGAGCGCCCGCGTTAAATAAACGTTTATTCTGGGGCCGAGGCTCAATTTCTTATTTCTGTCGCCACCGCCGTCTAGCATAGGCCATTGTATACCAAGGGTTAGTGTAGGATCCACGGCTGAGGTGTGTTTCTTGGTCGATTTTTCTTAGGAAATACTATGTATCGCCAAAATCTGAGCCTTGATTTGTTTCTATAAAATACTCCTCTTTTTCTCACTCGCGGACGCCACGTGTACTGCTGCACTGCCGTACAGATCGGAGGCATGGTGCGCAACAAGGAGCGGTTCGTGAAACGGCGGGCGAGGTTGGTCGGGCCTGACGGATCTACCCTCAAGGCGCTGGAGCTGCTGACCGGGTGCTACGTTCTCGTGCAGGGAAACACGGTGTCTGCCATGGGGTCGTACCAGGTGAGACCGACGTCGTTGATGTTAGATGTCGCCCCCCCTTTTGACAGAGTTTCGAAAGACTAGGTGACGTGGGATATCGCACCTCCTCTACAATGCCGCCGCGGGGCGTATGGCTTCGCCTGTCCAGGCTACGTTTCACGAGGATGAGCCAGAAGCTGGATCGCCATCCTTGCGTTTGTTTGCTGCTCCAAACCAGACAGGGGGGGCGGGTATAGGTGAGCGGTAGGATAGTCCAATTGGCGTCGTCCGGTCTACGAGAAGAAACTACATGTAAGTTTTATCTAAGAGAAAGAGAAGAAGGGGGTTACGTAGATGCTAACCGATCCCCCCGATATGCCACCGATCCTATACTTTTTCCTATACATTTTATATATATATTCCTGCGTAGGCTACTGCTGCGAGATACACGTGGTTGTGGTGTGTTGCGCGCGCTTTTAGGCGGCGCGTGTGAGAGTGAGACACCTAGGAAATGCACCTTCGTATATATATATATGTTTTTTTTTTTTGGCGTCGTCTTCTTGAGCCCGTCTTGTGCCGGTGTAATTGGAACGCTGGTGGGGGGCGACGCAGGTAGCGAACGTGGGGCCCCGTGGTTCTGTTTTCCGTGAGGCATGCTAGTGTTGTCCGCGGCACGTAGCTGTATCTTTGGTGCCGGGAGAGACGCGGGATGACCTTCACCCTCCCATTCTGCCCTTGACCTACCGCCCGCTGTGCTTCGCCCTGAGCGTTGCCAACACGACACGACATACCCGTAGGTTGCACAAGGTGTCACACCCCGGGTCCATTTTCAAAGCAGGATACTCAACAACAGAAAAAGCAGATACGGTGCCATGGCGAATCAATGGGGGGACTGCAGATGCCCACATACCGTGTGAAACGCTGGTGTTTTTTCTTTTGTCCGCACGCACACGCAGGGTCTAAAGCAGGTGCGTAAGGTGGTGACGGATTGCATGAACAACGTCCACCCTGTGTACAACATCAAGACCCTCATGATCCGGAGGGAGCTAGCCAAGGACCCCAACCTTAAGGACGAGAACTGGGAACGGTTCCTGCCGCAGTTCCACAAGAAGAACGTGAAGCGGAAGAAGGTAGATACGGCAGGCATCGCACGGGGTGGTGTGTGTCCAGCGGGAGGGTGTATTTGTTGTCTTTTTGTCTCTCTTACCATCTTTGTTGCGATTCTCCCAGTCGACGGTCCTTGTCTACCTTAACTTTCTATCATCCTCGCTGTCTCTGTCTTTGCTTACATGTATCACACAAGCATACATGCACTGACTTCTTATCATATGCCAGCCGGCTACCAGCGCGGTCGATGCTAATCAACAAGAAACACAAGTGCTGCTTTTCGCATCGTGCGAACGACCACGACCCTTCTTCTTTTTCACCAGCGGCCAACTGTCATACGACCATTGACCTTCTTTTCTTCTCGCGTTGTCTCACCCCGCGTGTCCTGTGGGAACAGTGCCCCGTCCTCTCGAGGCCGGTCTAGCAACTAAGGCATGCAAAACATGAGTATGACCCCCCCCCCCCCCCGCATTACCCAAAAAATCTTGTTAGAACCCTCCAAAAAATGGAGGGATCAAGGCTTTCCCCATATGGGGAAAAACACGGCGACAACGAGGGGGGGGGGACGAACACAAACCTTCTGTCTGTTTGCGTGAAGCAGTGTGCACAAAATGTTGAAAAACAATACCATACTGGTGTAGTGGGATCACTTGCGCTACTATCCGCTGCTTGTGGAAACAGTGACTCTCTCAACGCGACTCTAATCCCGACCCTTGCCGCTATCCCGACGCCTCCGTCCGTACGTCTCAACCACGCCATCTCTATTGCTTGCGACTCTCTGAACTCTAACCCCTACACCTTGCCGCATTCCCAACGCCTCCGCACGTGCGTCTCAGTTACGCCACGTCTGCAGAAATTGTGACTCTCTCCAACGCGACTCTAACCCCGACCCGATTGCCCCCGTACATTCGTCTTAATTACGCCGCATTACAGCCCGCCGTCATCAGAGAGAAGAAGGTATACACCCCCTTCCCTCCGGCACAAACGCCGCGCAAGGTGGATGAGCAACTCGAGAGCGGAGAGTTCTTTCTCAACGAGCGCCAGCGGAAGGCGAAGAAAAGGGCGGAAAAGAAGGTAGGAAACTATTTATTTTTTTTTGGGTGGGGGGGGAGGGGCATGCAGAACCGGAGTTTTTTTTTTCTTTGTAGCTCTTACCAGATCTTTGCGGCAGCGTTTGCAGCAGCTTCTTTTGTTTTTGCTCGCCGCCGAACGTGAAAGGCCTGGTCAGCCGGGATGCCCGCTCAACCCATGACATGTCTGGTTTAGCACAGCAAACGCAAGGGACGACGACCAGCTTGTGTTTCATCCTTGTGAAACGCAGATAGACTGGGCCGGCCAAAACCACGCATGACGCTCGGTCCCGGTGTTATGGGGTCTATGGTCTACCGACTTGTACGGCATGCGTTTTCATGAGTTACCCCCGCCCCCTTCCTCCCCCTCGGTGTTTGCCATCGGGGTTGGGTTTTCGTCGCTTGGCAACCACGTTTGTAAAAAAACCCGATCACGTCGTGAGCTCGGCAACCAGGTTACCGCTTTTTTTTTTGCCTCTGTTTTGTTTTTTTTTGCCGTAACCCTAAACCCTAACCCTAATCATGAATGGTGGTCGAGTAGATTGATGTTGTGCGGGGTCGAGAATCCTCACTCCGCGTAAAGGGGATGATCGCACCACGTTGTGTCAAATTGGTCAAGCACCCTCGAGGCAGTTGCATAGTGCTTACAACTGTCGCTGAAAGTGAAAGCACCAGAAAATAAATTAAGTCATACGCAGCTGCCATCCGCGTAAGCGCAGCGATGTTTGCCATCGGGGTTGGGTTTTCGTCCCTTGGCAACCGCGTTTGTAAAACAGGCCGCCCCCCCTGGTGTTTGCCATCGGGGTTGGGTTTGCGTCGCTTGGCAGCGATGTTGTAAAACAAGCCGATCACTTCGTGAGCTCGGCAACCAGGTTACCGCTTGTTTTTTTTTTGCCGTTGTTTTTTTTTTTTGCGGTAACCATGAATGGTGGTCGAGTAGATTATGTTGTGCAGGGTCGAGAAGCCTCACTCCGCGCAAAGGGGATAATCGCGCGTTGTGTTAAATTTGTCAAGCACCCTTGAGGCAGTTACACAGCGCTTACAACTGTCTCTGGAAGTGAAAGCACCAGAAAATAAATTAAGTCATACCCAGCTGTCATCCGTACGCAAGGAAGTAAGCACAAGATGCCGAACACCCTTAGCAGGATGCAGCGCACCCTTCATGCGACTCGCCGAATACCTCACGACGCTTCGCGCTTGGTGATGTGAGAGCCTGGTCCGGTGAGAACCCGGCGTGCTCCGTCCCGGCTTTGTAGGGATGCGAGGTCAATGGTCTAACGACTACGGCATGCACGACTATGAGTACACCCCCCGCCCCCCCTCCCACCTCCCTCTCGTTGGGGAACGACCCGCACGGTGGCGCCGTCGCAGGCCAAGTCCGCAGAGCTTTCAGCGGCGAAGCGAAAAAACAGAGAACAGGATCTGGAGCCAACCGAAGGAGACTACGACGGGCACGGCGCCGATGAAGGGGGCCCCGCAGGCGGCGGGAAGGGTACGGGGGGTGGGCGGAAAAAGCGATCACGTGGCGGCGGCGGCGGCGGCGGCGGCGGCGCCCCCCCCCTTGCCGAAGGCAGCAAGGAGATGGGGCAGGATCTCGACCGCCTCAAGAAGGGGTTTCTCGACGGGGGGGGGGGGAGAGGGGACGCGGTTTCGACGGCCACCACCTCCGCCGAAGACTTCGTTCAGCCCAAGAAAAGGAAGAAGGCTGTCGTGAACAGCCCGAGTTAGTTGTAAAAGTTGGCTTTGGACTGACGGGTCAGTGTGAGCATTTGGAATGCCGGGTGAGCGCGAGCATTATCTTCGACTTTCTCAAGTGGTTGGCAGCTGTAGGACAGCAGTATCCGGGTCCGCACGTGTCGGTTGTCCTAGAGAAGGCTGCGCCGGGTTTCGGTGAGTGGTCGGCGAGCATGTCGTCTGTCTGCGGCACTCGCAAGCGCTCGTAAGACAGCAGTCTCGTGGGTGGCGCACGTTTTGTTTTTTAGGCCAAGTGCTGCGTTTAAAGCGTAGCGTGTGTGGCGAGTTGCGTGTGAGCCGGGGCAAGCAGGTACAGTATAGTGTTCTGCCCGGAAATGTTAGGGTGGGCCTGACTCGTTGTTACAGTAGGACGGTCTTGGTGGGCTTGGGTTTTCTCGTAAAGACTTGGGGGCGCAAGTGGTTGTTGTCGGCGGCGATCACTCGTTTGCTCCCCCGTGGTCGGTGGACACGTCTCCGTGTTCCACAGCGAGAGAATGCTTGCGGCCTGCTCTCAGTGCGTGAACTGGCGGGGTTGGCTATTGTTTTGGTTGGCTCATGTGTCGGGGCTCCATGCACCCCCTGCGCGCAGGCCTTTTCCCTCGCAAAGGTTTCGGTAAGAAGATGGCAAGCGTATGGTCTGTCGCCAGGCCGTTCTGGGGGGATGGGGTGCGGAGACGGGATAGGAGGTCGCCGGAAGAAGATTCTATGCCCCTCCCTCCCGGTTGGAGCTAGTTTAGGTCGTCACGAAGAACGAAGTATTGCGATGGCAAAGGGTGCAGGCCTTGCTTGCTTGTCGCTCACGCTGTGAAAAGAGGGAGCAGTCCTCGACAGACGTGGGGAGTTTTGGGAGATTTGGGAGTTTTTTTTTCGACAGACGTTGGGAGATTTGGGAGATTTGCATCCTTTTATAAAGGGGAGGGGAATCCACAACGCTGGCATCTTCTGACGCATATTTTTTGTACAACCCTTTGGCGTTAGGTCTCCCCCGTGAAGTGAATGACTGCAGGGCGAACGAGAGTTTGTTGTTGTTGTTGCCTGCCGGACATCAATACCACCGAAGGCGATTGATTGCCCGCGGCACATCCGAATGATGGTATGGCGCTCGTATGCATACAGCAGTCCTCAACAGACTGTTCTGCTGGTACAGCAATGAGCTGTTGTTGTGGTTGCCCCTCCGTTGCAGAGCAAGCAGCATACAGGAGACACACGGCGACAAAGAAGATATGCCCGAAGAAGCAAGGAGAGGCTGTGCATATTTGCTGTGCTTTCGAGCATTCTCAAACGACGCTCAAACAACGCGCAGATTGTTGTGCTGGTGGAGCGCTCATTATGTCATGTGACGTGCTCCGTTTCAGAGCGGGCGCCATTGGACACTGAAGATCGACGGGACGAAGATATCCCCAACCAAAAAAGTATCCGTTTTTTTTGTGTTTTCAAAAGGTGGAGGCATTGTCGTGAGTGCGTGGGCAGCTTTCGTTTCGCCAACTAGACTTAAGTTTATTTTTTCTCTGTTACCCCAGTGTGGCGTAGCTCACCTAAATAAAGCCAGTATTGTAGGAGTCGTCGCTGATGAAGCTGAGTAAGCGGTTGTCACTACTGTCTGTAGCATATCTTCTTGTACTTTCACCGGGATCTAACGCACCGACCGTCTACAATAGACGACGTTTTCGAAGAGTGAACAAGAAGCGTGTGTTTTTTTCTTGTGAGCATCGACCGCGCTATATAATAATAATTGGTTGACCATGAAAACACGTTAGTCAGTCAGTCGTAGTCTACATACATACTGCTTGCTGTCGTGCGGTTGAATACACAATGCCTCAAAGTCATTATGTTCTTCTTTGCTCAATTTGGTTTTTGGCTGGGGAACCTGTCTTTGAGGATCGACAGAGAAATAGATACCACTGCGCGCGTGGGGAGTGCGGCGGGGGGCGCCAGGACTGCTGTGATGTGACACTACTACAACAGCGGTACGTATGTACACTGCAGTTCTACAGCTAACTTCTAAAATAAGAACACCGCGTGTATTTTCCAAGCGAGGATTCAAACCACCACGTGTATCGATTCTTCGGGAGGGCGTCGCCTCGTTTCAGTCATTGGATCGGATTCCAAGCTTTGGAATTTTTTTTTTCTTCTTTTCTTAATATGACACAACGAATCCATCTCTATCATAGAGTCTGAGACAGATTAGCAATGAATTCATAGCGTCAGGAAGTACCTGACTGTAGCCAGGGCAAGTGCGAAGTGTTCGAGAAAAGCTCAAAGGGCGGTCGGCGGTCGAAATAACATCACCGTGCGATTTTCAGAAGTACATTCTTTTTCTCAAGTTCACAGCAGTACTACAGGTAGGCACACTTTTGTTCGATGGTCCGCACAAGTGTAACAAGACGAACCAAAAAACAGGGGGCGCGGGGGGAGGAACGACACGTCAATAACAATCCGTTTCGTGGTGGTCTGTATCGTACTTCCACGCTGCGGTGCGAGATGATGCTGGCGGTGGGCCCGATCCGCCACCGCATTCGTTCATTCCCAAATCTTCCTCGACAAGACATCATTATCACCAGTAAACATCAGCTGAGAGGGTCAGTTCGACACAACCACGACCACGACCATGGCGTTCACCCCCATGGCGTTCTCGTCCACGGACACGACGCTGCCGGCAACTATCGGCGATGTCAAGACGGTGTCGGATGACATGGATATCTTCTGGCTGATGTTTGGCGCCATCCTCGTTTTCTGTGAGTTGATTGATGTCTTCCTTATTGGGCATTGGTTGAGAACGAGAACTGAAGCGCTGGCTCATTATTCCATTTCATTTGTTTTGTACGCGAAGAGGGCGCGTCCTCACACCGCCGCGGAACCTGCTTTCTTTGGTGGCACGTATACGCCCACAGCTCGCCCTTGTGCTGCCACTGCTGCGGCCGCTGTTCCCCTCGAGCTTTGCGTGTGTACAGCACGAGAGAGTTGCTCTTTTCAAAGGAGAACTTTTTTTGATAGACGAAATTCGCGGGGTATGCATCTACTGCTGCATATGATTGTTGTTGTTGTTGTTTTTCTTCACATTAAACTCGTGTCAGTTGCTAATCCCAAAATCTAGCAAAGACTCGGCCCGTGGCCACAAAAATGCTAAAGCCATCAGAAGATCTAAAGAACACGCACACTATTAGCAAGAAAAGGGTACACAAGCCCAAGGAGGTACACCTACAATCCCTGCAGCACGTGATATGTGATGTGTAGTTTTTTGCTGTAGGGACAGGTAGGGAGGGGTGAATTTGTTCGTGCCGCCAAAATGTACGACGTAGGTAGGGACGGATAGATTTGTCAGTCTCCTACCAGGGCGCGCTCGCAGTTGTCGTCGTCTTAGAGTCGTTTTCGGTCTGAGCGTGACCGGCGAAAGCGCCCGGATAGAAGCTGGCACATGGTGCAATGAGCACACGAAGGGAGGCAGATGCATAGTCTCGAACTGCAAAACACTTAGTTTTCTACTGTAAGTGGTTCACCTCCTTGCTTCCTCCGGCCGTTCAATACCCCTACACCATCGAATGCCTTAATCTTTCGATAAATCGAGTTGCCTTCCGGACAAGCGACAGCACGAGGTTGCTATCGCCCTAAATCTCATTCGTGTGGTGAAGAAACTGCTGTCTGTGTGACCGTACCCAGCCGAAGATGCGAGAAATACCACATTATTACCGTAGTGTAGTGTAAATATTTTTTCTTGTCGTGTCACGGGGACGGACGCGATCGATCGCATCATCTTGGCGCAGGCAGAGGGCGGACCAGCAGGGAATCGTTGGACTGGAGTGTTTCTCATATGCCCCCGCCTCTCTCCCTCGTTCGCTCTTGTCTGCGACCTGCCGGATGCTGCTACTACCTCTGCGCCACCGCGATTGATTGCCGTGTCTCTTGTCGGCCATGACAGTCATGCAGACCGGTTTCGCCATGCTCGAGGTGAGGGGAAAAACGCTTGTACTTTGCATTCACTGGAAGTGACTTCCGGAGGAACGACGCTGCTGTTGTTACTACTGTTAAAAAAAAAAAAAAACTCCCAACGAATCCATCTTTATCTACAAGAAAATAGTATAAGATAGATTATTACAGTAGCAAATTCATAGCGTCGGACAAAGCTACCTGTATTTCCACGGTTTCCCGAGCATCACACAGCAATATTTATTTGTATATTTGTTACCTCCTTCGGACCAAGCACTCCTTGTCGGTCTGTTCACGCGGTAGGACTGTTCGACCTCATTGTTTGCGGGCGCTGCACCCCTCCCCCCCTTTTTTTGCGATGCAAGCGAAAATCGCAGTAGTCGTGACGCGGCCTTTGTTTTTACGGATAACCTCGCGTTGGTTTCATTACTTGACGACGACGCACGTAGTTAGTGTGTAAGGCCTGGACTGTATAGTCTAGCTACGACGGGCACCACGTGGGCCAGAGACAGGAAGAGATGATCATCTCGGCTTTGTCTTGATCGAGAGGCTCAGGACGCCCCCTGGCTTGGCAAAATCATAATAAACCAACCTATTGTACAGTGGCACAGTAAGTAGTCATAGTGGTTGCTATAAATACAGGCATCAATAGCCAACGAGTCCCGGTAGGCTCTGCAGAAGCGAGCCTTGCAGACCGGTTTCTCTCGGTGCTGCCCTCCAGCTAAAGTATCTAGCAGTCAACCTCTAACGTCTCTCCCCAACAACTCTTCCCTCCCCAACCCCCCGTCGGCCACCGATGTTTCGGTCTCGAAACGAATACGAACGATACATGTAGGTCGGTTCCGTGTCCATCAAGAACACCAAAAACATCCTGATCAAGAACATTGGCGATGCCTCCCTAGGCGCCATCTGCTGGTGGCTGCTCGGCTACGGTGTTGCCTTCGGAGATACCTCCGGTGAGACGCCGTGGTACTACTTGTACTGTAGATACTTCTGCTGTCGAAAGTCTATCAATTTGTACGTATGTAGGCATTGTCTACCATTCTATCTACCAGTGGTGGTGTCGTTTGAATACTTTTGTACGACCATGGAGAAACATGCTCGAAGAACTGGTAGCGTTTACCGTACCACAGCCAGCCGTGCAGCAGACCTGAATACGTGCAAGTTGAAGTGGTTTTACTTCATCGCATGCAACTTGCAATTCATGGCAGGGATATTCTGCAGCATTTACAGTGTTTAGTCTAGAAACTAGATATGCGCCTGGCTACGTGTTGGGGTATTGATACAACTGCGTGCCGCCTTCCACGCTACTCCAAACGTCGTCTGTTCGACGAAATTCCAGGAAAATTCATCGGCACCAACAACTTCGACCTCAAGGGCGCCCTCTTCGAGGCGGACGACGGCACCCTCACCAACGGCTACAGTTACGCCTCGTGGCTGTTCCAGTGGGCCTTCGCCGCCACCGCCGCCACCATCGTGTCGGGGGCTGTGGCCGAGCGCGTGTCCTTCAACGCGTACATCATCTACTCCGTCATCCTGACGTCGTTCATCTACCCCGTCGTCGTGCACTGGGGCTGGGCCGGCGGTTGGGCATCCGCCTGGCGTGAAACCGACCTCCTGTTCGGCTGCGGTGTCATCGACTTCGCCGGTTCTGGCGTCGTCCACATGACCGGCGGCCTCGCCGCACTCTGCGCGGCCATCGTCGTGGGACCCCGCACCGGCCGCTTCAACGAGGACGGCACCGCCAACACCCTCCCCCAGCAGTCCGCGGTGCTCCAGTCGCTCGGCACGCTCATCCTCTGGTTCGGATGGTACGGGTTCAACGGCGTGTCCACCCTTTACATCGTCGGCTTCGCCGGGGTTGCCGCGAAGACCATGGTGACCACCACAATCTCGGCTGCCTTCGGCGCCGTCACCACCGTCCTCCTCGGCAAGTTCAACCTCGGGCACTGGGACGGAGGGGCCGCCAACAACGGCCTCCTCGCAGGTCTCGTGGGCGTCACCGCGGGCTGCTCCACCTGCGAGCCCGAGGGCGCGATGGTGATCGGCATCATTTCCGGCTTCGTGTACACGTACTCCTCCAAGATGCTTGTGATGCTCAAGATCGACGACGTCGTGGACGCCATCCCCGTCCACTGCTTCTGCGGAGCGTGGGGTGTATTCGCCGCGTCGCTCTTCGCGACAAAGGACAACTGTGAGTGTGCTCTTGCCTCAAGCCCCCACACTATTTGACAAATGTGTGTGGCGTCGATGGAATTCGAACTCGACCGGCTTCCATAGAACCAAAGACGAGAGTTACAAAAAACGTCCATGGAAGTTGTTGTAGCAATTGTTTATGTGCGACTTCTATGGAAGCTTGAACTTTCATGAAGTCTCGTTTCAACTAAAATAGCTTGATCCATGGAAGTCTTGTGTTGAGCAATATTGCTTTCATTAACTTTTTTGTGCGTCCATTGAAGCAGTGCATTGAAGTAGCCGTGGACTACGTCGAGGGACGATTTTCCGTGGAATTTCTGTCGTCCTTGAAAGCTCTTGGCGCGTTCGTGGAAGTCTTCAACACGACTTTCGCGAAGCCAACCAGCGCTTTGCCCTCACTCCTCCCCACCTGCGTTGTCCATTTCTTTCTCCATAGATCTATATACATACCCTGGTTGACAGTGACTATCATTCGTCGTGTTTCATGGTAGGGTCCCAGTCATGAACCTTCTTAGACAACGAGACATCGGTTGCTACCAATGTACGCTTTGGTCACCAGATGTGTTGGCTTCAACGCTTCGTCGTCCATCCGACTTACCCCCCCCCACCCCCCCACCCCCACCCCATTTCCTCCGCTCCACATCTCAGACGGCATGGCGTACTACGACCGCGCGGACAAGTGCGCCGGTGCCTTCTACGGCGGTGCCGGAAATGCTGTCGGTGCCAACTTTGTGTTCATCTTGGCGGTCACCGCATGGGTCGTGGCTACCTGCACGGCCCTGTTCATGGGAATCAAGATGACCGTCGGCATGCGTGTGGACAAGGAGATGGAGGTCAGTCCGTTTATTCTGTTTCTCATGACCCACGGCCAGTTATCGTGTTGTAGGTGATGATGCTGGTCTTCGCGGAACAATGTTCGTGGTTCTCTGCGCCCTAGACTGCGCTGTGCGTCATTGGTGCAACGTCTCTGTCGTCATCGGTGCGACGTCCCTGTCTGTGCTGCTTGTCGTTGCCCTTTGGTATCTACGCCGTTGTCTTCTCGCCAATTGAGAGCACACGAGCATGCTCATTTCTGGAAACCCTGCGATTCACCCAATCGGCCCTCACGCCCCCTTGCCGCCCTTCCCTGTCCCCTCTTGCATCTTTTCCGGACAGCAAATCGGCATGGACGACTCCAAGCACGGTGGCCAGACCTACCCAGAAATGATGAAGGGGACCACCGCCGCGTAAACCCTCTAAAAACACCGGGAGACACGCAGCAGGAGCAGCATCTGTTCGGCTTCCAAATCGTGTACATATCCGCCCTGAAGCTGTTGTGTATATTAGCTGTTGAGTATCACAAAAGTAGCCAGAGATGCGTTGGTTCCCTCGTTGTCTTTGTTCACCAAAAAGGGGGGTCAGTCAGCCCTCATCTAGCTTTTCGTCATTGTTCTTGACTCCCAACATTTGGAGATTTTGGAGTCTGGAAGGGCGTGTCTTCATTCGTAAGTTTGTGGCGCTACTCTGCTGGTCGTATTGTAGCGTGAGGCGCACATATCACATACAGGAAGCATCGTTTGGCGTTGAGGCTGCGAACGTGTTCAGAGTTCCTAAATCACGGCAAGATATGCGTCCAAGCTACGCAGCTTGAGCAGGCGTCTATCGGTGAAAGGGTATTTGTTCCTGTCCGATTTTACAGCGGGATGCTTCCTTGACCCATCTGGCGGGGAGCTATATCCGCATGTTTTCCCCCTTTTACTTAACGACAGAAATTCTGTGTCGCTAGCACGGAGAGTTTTGTGACACCAGTAGGCCCCCCGAATCTCGTGGCTTTCGAAGCCAGTTGGCACAACGTCATGTTTTGGTGGTGTTGTTGGTGAGTCTTCTATTCCTTTTTTTTTCGGTTGGGATCGTTTACACAACGCAGGCGATAGCAGCTTCGTTGCCACCTCGAGGTTCAGGATGTACTTTTTCCACGTATTTCTTCAGCAACAAACGCACACGAACCCACGACAGCGATGGCCTTGAGCTGTTCATCTCTGCAACCGACCGCGTGCTACGGTGTGCCCCTTCCGGGATCGTAATGCGCGGTACTTGCATTCCCTCGGGACAGCGTGTCGTGATGCAGTTGTATTTCTGGACACCATCGCACCGAACCGGTAAGCACTACCCTTGGCGCCAGCGGGAGGGGTCTGATATAGCGAACGTAGGAGACATCAAGCCGACGGGCGACCCAGGGGGAATCCCGGATTTGGCGTAGGCTTTCGTCATTGGGACGGACTCGCGATGCCTAGGGTAGTGCGAGACAAGATCACCCCCAACGAGCTCCCAATCGAAACATGTTGTATACGACAAGCTGGCTCTTCCCCATGCAGTATAGGGGGTGACAATGCGCCTTCCCTGCCTTCCCTGAGTTCGACCGGAGAACGCACATGGCATCAACGCGAGAATGTCGGCGCCCGAAAGAAGGGCCACAGGCCCCCGAGCCCCGCGATGATTGTCCTGCCCGCACAAACACCAAGTACTTAAGTTCAGTTCGATCAACCCACTCCTTCCGCGGTATAGTTTGCATATTCCCTGCAACCAGACGTCGAATGCACCGACGGGCGCCACGCCATGAAGAAGACCCGAGGACACTACTTGTTCAAACCGACGTGTCGCTCAAACGCTTCACCACCAGCAATGTTGTGCACGAACCATCGGGGTCCGCCGGCTTAGACTGCACTACACACCTCGAGGACTGAATCAAAGCCATCAGACGCGTAACCATACTTTGTAGGTAAATCGATTACACCACAAGCCCCGAAATGTCGAAAAAGCTACCATACCAAAATACATTGAAACATGTTGTTGGGGCCGTACTACACGGTTAGAGACGCGTAGGAGAGGATTCGAATCCTTCAGGCAACAGTCCATGTATGTCTGTCGTTAATTTTCGGGGCCGTTGAGTAGCACAAGGAATGTGCAACGAGAACGAGCCACGGGTGTGAGGGAGATCCGTTCCTTCGGAACGAACGGTGGAAGGAGTAAAATCACACACAGCCTCTTCACTGAGGTATGTGTAAAATGATTTCTTCTTCTCCGCTAGAAACATCCAGGGCAGTGTGGAGCTAGGGTGCAGGTTGTTGCGGTTTTCGTTGCTCTCCTTGGTGAATATTTTACTTTCTCCTTGCATGTACACCATGCAGCCCGGAATCCAACGCACACCAGACCGAATTGCGCACCGAATAGAAAGGCATATGACTCGGAATAGTAAGTCCTGCACCTCACCATGACATCAAACCTCAACGTCTGGTACCGCCAACAAACCATGGTGGTACCGCGCCATCACACCGGCAGTTCCAAATACCGTAACACAAGCCACCTTGAGTGGTCGTAGATGCAGATACAGAAGCAAACCTCGGAGGTGCTGTATATTGTCCAAGAAGGGGTTTGCGGATGGATCAAAGATGCGGCAACTCAACCCACCTCTACAACGATATGATATTTAGGAAGCGAAACAGGGTGGTCGTCGGTGATGGCAGAGCCGGAGGACAAATCGGGAAAAGGCACACGTGGTGCGATAAACAACCAAACCATTCGCACTGAAAAGACCGTAACACGGCGTCACGAAATCGCCAAGGGAACAACCACAAACGATCTCGCACGAACCAACTGCTCAAGTGCTCACTCTCAAGTATTCCAAAACTTGACGGAAGGGGGGTGCTTCGCGAGCACTTGAAAGAATAGAATCCAAACGAAAATTTAGCCTGGATCGGCATGCAACTGACATGAAAAGTGTTGGTTGACCCGTAGCCGAAACAACGCACCGAAAGAGGGGGTTTGCTTCCCGGTGAAGAACGGCGCAAGAAAGTCAAACTGACAAGAAAATCGACCAAGCGCCTCTGAAACATACGTGTGTCACGAAAAAACGGGCGTGCAGCTACGAGGGGTGCGTGCGAAGAACATGGACACAACAACAGTTCAAGGGGGCCATTGCGAAATAACGAAAACAAATACCAGGATAACTTTCTCGGCCGTTGCATGCGGGCGGAAATTTGGACAGAACGAAAGGAACACCACGACGCGAACACGACGTCGCATAGAAATAGCAAATAGGCAAGCCACAGGTTGGAGGTGATATCACAGGGGGGGGGGGAAATGACAAAACAACCTCAGGATGCGTCGAAAAGCAAGTATTCAAGAGAAAAACATCGACAAGCTACCGAGTGCATTACTATCGGAGGAGGGGGATTTCGAATTTCGTAAAACACAAGAGGCAGTATCCAAGGAATTGAGAGGGCGAGCGGAAGAGCACCAAGGAGCAACAGCCAGCCTCAAAGCAATTGAGAAGGTGAGCAAAAGAACGCAGAAAAACAAATCCAGGATTCTGACCAGCCAGAGGCACCGCGAGAATGGGAGGAACTATCGCCAGGGGTGACATGTGTCAGTTCCACGGAATCGTCTAGATCGCGGGAGATACCTCGCTTGAAAGAACTACTACGGTGCATCAGCTGAAAGCACTAAGATACACATAGCTCCCAAAGCTATCGTGTAGCGCGAATGAGAGAGGGTGTAGTAAAGACAGGTCCCCGGGTCGTCCAGGAAGCGAAGGAAGAAGACATTTGGATTTGAGTATGCCCGGAGATTTTCCCTACAGCCACCACCGAGCGTCTTGGGGCTTTTGTAGTGGGAATGTGTGTCAACGGGCAGCATGGTGTTGCGGAAACGACCGGCCCAATCATCGTGGAACATAGCCTTACCCAGGCCAAGAAGACCGCTCGCCGTCGATGCGAGGCAATTCACGTTCCGGTGCGCCAATGCGCATGCGCCCGTACAGATGGTTGGTTACCCTGCTGGTGTTGGGGCTCCCAGCCCAATGAAAGGACGAATTTCAATCTGTTCGCGGGAGTGTTCACGTTCCCAAGAGGGGCGCATGAGGCCTTTCCGGGGGGGTTTCGTACATGATGGCGATGACGTCAGTCACCACGTCCACGAACCGACTGGTGTCCCGTGACTTTCTCGACCTCTAGCCCGGCGCAGAAACATCGTCGGCGACAATCATGGTACGGCAGGCAACGAAAAAAGAGACATGTCGTCGACGTTGTGCGGGTTCGTGCACAGTGTTTGCAACGAGCAACTGAAACTCGGCGCTTGGCACCCGCCCTCGACATGTCGGAGGGAAGGTCCAAGTACAGGAGTTCGTCAGGTACGGTCAGCCATCCGGAGCCTTGGCGCAAGGACCGCCTGCGAGGATCTACGTAGGACCTGTCCAATGGCAGGAAGAATAGCTTCTCCTTCTTGAGTACCTGAGAGTCAGCATCTGCACGGGCCTTAGAATGAAAGTTGGAACCTTGGCAGACCGTTTCTGAGAACATTAACTTCTCTCATCGTCACCAGGCGCTTGCCCGCAACCACCTCGAGTACTAAAACCTTGCCGCTGATCGGCAACGGCGCTCCTACGAGCTGTATCGCGCGAACAACAAGCACTCACGGTTTCCCCTATGGAACCAAGACACTCGAAACGGTCTGATACGTTGCCACACAAGCTACCGGTTTACGCTAACGGTGATTGGGTGTGGGTGTACGATTCGTTCAATGGGAAACTGAGGAGGCTCGTTATATGTAGATAAAGGATGGCCACCGATACCTCCAAATATCCTTAACATATTCTCTTTCGCTCAGATATGATATGTTATCATTATTTTCTGTAGAGCACCCGCTTCGTTGACAAAAGCATCGGACAAACGACCCCAATAAGCTCAAAGGAGGGACTCCTGATGCCTATTTTCACGCAACAAGTACCCCCGAAAGCGCCAAACCTCGGTCCTATGGCAGGCACGGTTGTTCACAGGAAAGTATCCAGAAAGAAAATACCAAACAATACAAGAGCTGGTCCTGACATGCTTGGTGTTTCCATGGAAGTTCCACGTAAGCGTTGGTGTCCTAACGTCCTACTTCCCACGATGCCCCATGATCTCCCACCACTTCCTTGTGTTGCCGCCCCATTGGCGTCCCAAAACACCCCGTGGGCGTCCGAACGTTCCATGGGCGTCCCATGGGCACGGACGTGTCCCATGGGCATCCAACGACGTGTTTTAGGAGCCGTAAGCCATCCTATTGACGTCTCGTGCACCCACTCGAAGCACATGTACTATGTACGTCCCAGTCATCACATACATACGCACAACAGAGCGGCTGTTTTCTTGGCATTTTTTCCTCGTGCCTATGTGCGGGCTTGAAGCCCAGACGGGGGCGGGCGGAGCTCCCTT